GCTTTTCTTAAAAAGCAACAAGGGGTAAAATGCTGAAATACTATGCCCAGGCAACATATATGTCCTTTGAGTGGTAAAGAGGGTCACGCACACGACTGCTTTTCATGCCCATCGCCATCAGCTCCTTTGCTGACCTGGTCATGCCTTTCTCCCATGGCCAGAGACAGCAGAACATAGCTTAACTGACATATGACCTAAATCAGATTTACAGACAAATCAAATCCTCATCTCCAGAGAATTTGTTTCAAGGCTTACATTAAGGCAACTTGCAACCTAGGCTCAGCAGAGATCATTTTTTAAATCTTTCGCTATGTCGCACTTTAAAAGGTTTACCATGTCTACAGCAGCCACTGACCCCATTCAATTCTGCCAGGGAAATGGCAACACCATGATGTATTTGAGATTTCAGTCCATGTCAGTACACCAAAGACAGGGTACAGCAGAAAATAAAAAAGTGTTGAATCACCAGCTGAAGATTTTCAAGAAAGATTTTGAGAAAATACCTGTAAATTAAGGACTTACTTTCAAAATGAACAAGGCTTCAGAAGCAGAACAATGCAGAAATCTAAAATAAATATTATAGCACTCAATTTTAAAGACAGTATTAGCTATTTTGTCTTGGGTAATGGGGAAGAGAAGGTGACAGATTAGAGTTGGGGAGACGGAAATCACGCAGGCTCTGATTAATCAGAACTGTCTACCCACATTTGCCTACACAAGCAGAATTAAAACCATCAAACACATTTTAAGACTAGATCTCAGAGGCTGCGGTAGAAATAACACGCCCTGACATTTTTAGAGTTAAAGTGACAAAGATGAGAGCAGCATTTTGTCTTTAAAAGTCCTGTGGTCATTTGCAGAGGATGCCGCAGCTCTACTTTGAAAAGAAAGAGTTAAATTACTCAGAGCTATTACATCCTGTCTGCTGCTTGGCGGGACCACATACTGTGACAGCTGCGAGCTTTACATCCTCTACAAACTGACATTTTACACACATACCGAGTGCATCACACTGTTCAGCTTGTTTTCTCTATTAGCCTTAGCAATTAAAAAGGCAGCACTTTCCCTGCTAAGAGGTGTGCCAACCCCTCTCTTTTGCCTTTATGTTTCAATAGCAAAACTTTACCATCTCGTTTAGAAGGGTTCTCTTTTTATTACTAAGGGCATTGATACATGCTGCATGTCTTCCTTTTTAAAACAGCCTTCTTTTGTTGTGGCTGGGATTCTTTTCTTTGTTTCTCCTTCTTAATTGGGATACAGCACAATAAATTTACATTCAGTTCAGACCGCATCTGAACAAGTCTATAGCTCACTCAGATAATCAAATCTGATACAAATTTAAACCAAGATTCCATTATACACATTTATGTCATGCTGCCCATCAGGGCTTCTTCCACTGCCTTGGTACAAATGAAAATGACAAATGGAAAAGGTTAATCTAGATCAGAGCTGAACCTATACCAAAAAAATGTAAGAAAGTCTACATCAATGAGTCATTTCACTGCTCCATAATTATCTCTGTGATAATTATACTTTGAAGTACTCATAACAGAAACAAAGCCTTTACTGGCTTTCAGATATCTTCTGTCACTACTGAACTCCATCTCCTTCCCTCTACACCCCCCATTTTACAGTCCCTTCCTCTGCCACTGCATTATTCCACTTCTATGGTAAATAAAGGTGAATTCCGACAGGGTTTAACAGAGAGGCGCCTTGGTCTTCTGGGTACAACAGTGGGCAAGTGCCTACAGAGCCCCCAACTTCCAGTGTTTCTTTCACTCATTTGATGACTTTACCTACTTATGCCTATTATGTCTCAGAAAGCATGAGATGTGAAATATCCAGGCAGTTATTTAAATGTCAGGAGAAAACAGAGGTGGTCAGTTCTGCTCTTCTTCCAAACGGGTTAGACCTTTGCAAGAATTCCCCAACGCCTCAACCTCCTTCCTTCAGCAGGCTTTGTCTTCTCCATATTCTTCCACTTTCAGGTTGGTGGGTACACGTTTGTAATGTTCCCAAAAGAGGGGCAGCTGATCTCAGAAGAGAGAAATTGCCAGGGAACATCCAGCATCCAAATTTTAAATTACAGCAGAGAATAATCTGATCATACCGACAAGCTGTGTATATGCTATCAGTCAGGTTCTGATCTTATGTCTGGAACAAGAGATTCTCCACATTAGCCCTCACACAGACATGGTGTGCAGCAGTACAGCATCTCGTGACACACCAGATGGCACTGGGAAGTTGATTCCTTAATCTGTTGACCAGCTGTGTCTCCAGCATGGAATTGCTAGATTTGAAGGAAATGATACTCCACCTACCAGGGCTCTAACACTTCAAGGGGCCCTGCTAGAAGATCTCTTCTGCTGTGTCCTAGTGTTTTGGTCACCACTCTGCCACTGCAGGATCCCCATTATCAGATGCTGTCCTTGTTTTGTATGTAGCTTCCAACAAACTTCCTTGTGTCCACACAGAGCAAACGAAGAGGTGTGGGGGGGCCATTATGCAGAACATTGTTGTAATATCCATCTGAGACAGAGAACTTTTCAGTGGTTATCTAAGAGCCAGACTGATTCAGACCAAGAATTCATTTAACTCAGAAAGCTGTCTCCAACATGCCTGTAAGTGACAGCTAAGGAAGAGTAATATAGGATACCTGCCCCAAATATTTAGCATACTTCCACTCAGCAAATCTGGCTTAATTTCTACCAAAAGGAATCCAGTTTGTGCAATACAAGACCATTCTGTGATGTGAGGTGAGGCATATTAAGCGGGGAGGATCAGGGGGCTCACTTCAAAAATGCACTCCTGATCTGAATTAAAATGCTTGTATAAACACAGAGATATGGCAGAGGAAAAAACAACCATTGCTTCCGCTTGAACCCATCTAAACTTCTTGAACTCGCAGATTCTCCAGAAAGGAGTTCCACAGATCTGCTGCAGAAACAATTACCTGAATTCCTTTTTATTTGTTTTGCACCTGGCCCCCTGTTCTGGTTTGGCTGGGACAGAACCCCAGCCCAGCCATGCCAGGCAGGCCGTGAGCAGTTTGAGTCAGCCAGGGCAGCTGACCTGAGTGAGCTACAGGGGCAGCCCACACTATCATGTCATGGTCATTATAGAGGGGGAAGGTTTGCTGAGGAAGGGGAGCTCCTGTGGGGTTCATGCTGGAGTTCTGGCCAGGGTTCCTTTTCTTCCTGCTCCTCCTCTGGCTTCTCCTTGCTGCTTGGGACTGCTCTCCTGTTGATTGTGACTGCTGCGTGCTCATTTGGCTGAGTATAACTTTGTTGGTACTAGTGCTGTTTCATTAAATCTCTTTTCACTTCAACCCACGGGTCTCCTCTCCTTTTCCTAATTCCCTGCCCTGGCTGGTGAGGGGTCATCGGGTGATAGAGCAACTGTTGTAGTTTAGCCCCAGATATGGGCTAAATACAGACACCCTGACTAGTGCCATTTGACAGCCCTTTGCTCTTACACTGGAACAGATGGGCAAACAGCCAATCCTTATTGACATGCCTCCCGTGATTTAGACCTCTACCTACTCCGCTCCCTGCAACTCTTCTCTTTTCCAGGCTGAAAGGACACACCATGTACAGCCTTCCTAATATGGAAGCTGTCTCTATCATTGGTCATCCTCATTGCTCTTCTCTGAATATTTGCATAACCTTCTGAAACAAGGTGCTGTCAAACCACGCTTATACAGTAGTATATGCTTGCTGTTTCAGCCTCTATTCTTTCCTAACAGCTTTTAACATATGGTTAACATTAAAGCTTCTTAACATTTGCCTTCTTGATCAGCACTGACCTAATGCACTCATGGAACCATCTGTCATTACACAAAACCTTGCTCCTGAGTGACAACACCATAATTTGACCCTAAAAATGAACAAGAACTTCCAGTCAAGTCTGTAATAACTGAAATAACATTAAATGTAATCTAGGAATCATTTGTTCAGATGCACATTAGCACAAGAAAACCTGTCATTAATACACTGCACTGTTAAGAAGTTTCTAGCCGTTATTATATGGCCATTTCTTGCTATACTACAAAGTCATCACCTAATAACCAAACTCTTAACCTTAGTCTCCTGGAATTTTACACATTCAGTCTAGCATCTGTCCCATTTTCCCTTAATCCATCCTTTTAGCATGTGTGTGCCTTGCTTGTCTTTCTTAGGGTTTTACACCATTTACAATATATTCCAAGTGAAAAGACCAGACATTGCCTGTATAGATACATAACATCTATTTCTGGCAGTCAAAAGTAATAAAATAAAACAAAGAAAAACTTCTAAGAGTTATGCAATGGTATCTTTTTTTCCCCCACGATCTTTTTGCTTCAAGTCGCAAAGAATTTTAAGCCCAGCTTTTCAAATACTTATCTGTGTATCAAACTTGCTGTGGAAGATTGGTACTGACTGACCTGGTCTAAACAGTGTTTCTACTGACCTGAGTGTGCACTTGAACAGTAAAAAGCCAATCTATGACACACATGATTTGTTTATAGGGACCTAGCCAGAATATACCGTTCTTTCAGCATATGAAGGAGGTCAGACAGAAGCAAATGCAGTTACTGTGCATTCCCACTGAGCTAAGCCTACCTAAATGGCTGCCGCCTTTAGAGCCGTGATGCTACAGCAACTTGTGTGACCATGTTGCCCTGACAACCAATGGAGATCCTCTTTACAGTAAATCTAGCAGACACCTGTACTTTTGGGACATAAACTCAGCTAGCTCAGTTTCATTGCTCACCATCACTCACATTTCCTACACCCCCCCCCCACACACACACCCCTATAAAGCACAGAGATTATCAAAATCAAAAGTGCATTGTACAAACCTAGTGTGCGGTTAACTGGTGTTACAGTTATGTTGCTTTCCTTTCCCTCGCTTGCCTGCCTGGTGCTGTTGAAGCACAGATCAGCACGTGAGAATCTGTCTCACAGTCTTGGGGTGTTTTGATTTACAAAATAATCAAAGAAGAAAAACTGCACACATACCTTCAGGACAGTCCACTGCTCTACAACAATTGCATCATAGCCCTGCATGGTTTTACCATCTTCCACAGCAACATCTTCAAAGAGAAATACTCCATCCATTGTCCCATGTAAAGAATCTGTGAAAACACAGGGTTATCTGTAAGCTTTATGGAAGGCACCTCATGTGTAGTTAGGCATCTGAATTTATTAATAACAAATTCTTCTAAGGATGTTAATAAAAAAAAGTGATTGAACCTTCCTTTGATAGTCCAGCTCTATTAAATGAATGAGACTACGATCTCTAGCATTTTTAAGAGCCATCCTACTCTCTAATAGCAAACCTCACTGTCCAATCTGTTATTCCAGAGTTTGTCCTCAAAAAAACACAGCTTCCATTTTAAGCAGGTAAAATTAATTCAGACCTCAGTTCAGCAGTACTGCTCACCTACTTGAAGTTATACACGCACTTTGGGGGCTAAAGACTATGTTTTACGTCAACTTTTCAAGGGCTTTTGAAGGTACACTGACATTAATGACAATACCCATTCATTCACACAAGTAAGAACCCTACATATGGATCAGTCGTTGCAGTTACTGTGATCTACATGGACTAACAATGATCTGGCATATTTGAATGGTGTGAAAGAAAAGATACGTTCATAATTATTTAATCAATTTATGAAGGCATTTTGACCATCTGGCTTAGTGGCTCGCTATTCTCATTTGTATTCCCAGCACATCCAGCCTTTTTCAGACAACACATACTATCAAAGTTACTTGAGCAGCCCTTTCTCCTTCAACTTAGCCATGTACTCCATAACCAGCAATCACTCCCATACGCAAGAACTCAAGTTTTGTCACCTCCATGATAGAGCAGAATCACAATAACTGGAAAAAAATCTACTTAACTTTCTTTGCTACAATATGCTAAATCATGAAGCAATAGAATTATATTTAGAAAAACTGTAAGTATGAACACAGAAAACTCCTCTCACATTGTCACAAAGCGTCTTTTTCAGCCTTTCTAGTTTAAATAATACATTTACCCAGTAAGAGTGATTAGAATGACCTGGTTCATCCCCTCCCCAAATGTTGTACTTTGCATTAGTCTCTTTACACTTTTAGGAAAATTATGTTCCTTGCACTGCTATGATACAGGTTTTCGAAATGCAATCACACACGCCAAACTGACAGATTCCTGAACAGACAAGAGAGTCTTCTGGGTAAGTGCTTACCTGTTTCATCAGGTCCTTCTGCTTTCCCTGGTGGATGTTACGAGGTCAAACTCAGAACCAATTTTCACAAAGGGGGCAGCGAAGAGGATTAAGAGTCTTCTTACCTCTTGCAGACGTGCTCTAAGTCATTATATGATCTGATGTCATTGTATGATCTAAATTCAATTTATTATCTGGAAATAACAGATTTGTCGTGGGCAAAGCCCACAACAAACTAGACTCCTACAGGCGGAGGCTTATGTCTACAAACACACTGTAGAAGACTGTTGCTGCAGCTGTCAGGCATTTGCCTACCCCCCTGCTTCTGTATGCACAGTCCACTACTCTCTTGCTGCAGTTTCAATCAAGTCATGAAGCAGTAAGTGAGTAGATGCAAATACCTGTATCTAAATTAACACGGCTTTTTTTTTTTTTTTGAGTTTGGTTGTGAAGGAAAAAAGTTGTAAACCATTTAATAGGAACTCTCCTTGTGATTCTGTTGGGAGACTGAAAGAAGCATAAAGGACACCATCTACTTTCACATTGTCTCCCCAGGCAGGTTTCCTGTAACTTTGTTTAGAATAAAGGGAGATGAAGACTCCTCACCACTACAGCAAGCCAGTATTACACACTGCTCCAAGGAAGATGAGCTGGACTACAAAGCAGTAATTCCTGTCATCTAGATAGATTTCTCATCCAAGTGAGGACAACAGACATTTTTGTGTGAAATAACAGGCCAGATCACTAAGTATCTGGGTTACAGCTTAGAAAACACAGGGAGAACAAACTTGCCACATACAAATGGCTACAAGATTTAATTATCATATTTCATTCAGAAATGGCACTTTTTTAAACCCTACATTTCAAAGTGGGAACCAACTCAACTTCCGTGCAATATACTATGTTCCAACACCCAAACCCATGCCCAAATCTATTTTAGGATGCAGAATGCACAATAACCCTTTAATTTTCCAAAGCAGGGATGACAGGACAGCACCTAAGGCTGAAAGCAGAAACACATAGATCCCTACTAGACACAGACATCCAGCTCTTGCCAGGAAGCTTTATAGAGCGTTGGTGTACTGCTCCTGTGTCGTCAATTCTCCTAACGAAACTCAGTGTCGCACTGCTGGCACAACTGCAGCCTGAGCTCTCCCCACGCGTTTGCCAGCTAATTAATAAGCGATCAAAACACAACCAGCATGCGTGTGTTTACACTCACTCGTAAATCATCCTTTATGTTTCACTCTGCTGCACATTCCACTCATGCAGTTCACAGTTTCCACATATGTGAACATTATGGCACATATGTAACGTTTTAGAAAGTAATAGCTGAGCTCATGAGACCCTACAGGCAGCAGATAAACTTGGCACTGTTAGGTTTATGGTTGGACTCAATGATCTTAAAGGTCTTTTCCAACCTAAATGATTCTATGGTTCTATGACTTTGCTCCCTTGTTGGATGTACAATGATTACTGTTGAATGCTACATCCAGTCAATCCTAAGATCCATTATTTTTTTTGGCCAGGAAAGAAATCTACAGAAAATGAGAAAAATGGAAGGGGAAAAATTATGAGGGAGAGACAGCTGCTGCATACTGGTGTCCAACAGAGTGATGCTGGTGAAAAACTCTCTAAGAGAAACTGGCTCATTAAGATTTTCCCTCTTAACCATAACATCTTTTCTACCTGTCATACTACAATTATAAACTTTCATGCCATGAATGCATGTCTGGCAATTCTCACACCTTGGCTACAGCCTTTTATAGGTCATCTACTACTCTTCCAGAGAAAAGGGGGAGGTAAAGGGAAGAATAATCGGATTATTAATTCCTTCACATGTGAAGCATTTGGGATGCTGAGAATAATTGGGGGAAAGGAGAAAGCAGCAGAAAGAGACCTAATGGGGTCATTTTTTGGAGAAAAGGCACACATGCTATGGTGTCAAGATCAGC